ATTTCCTGCAGCAGAAATACTCCATTACTTCAGGAGTCCCACCACCTTAATTCAACAAGCCCATTCTCCAAGATCACCGATTTCCTTACCCCATAACTAAGGTCTCCACTGTGGTGCACAGCTACAACAATACAATTTTTGCTACCTTTAAGTTATTCAAAACAATAGAGACCCTCAGGGAAAAGCGACCCTTGCTCAGCCGGCGAGACAGGGGCACAGCACGCAGGCTGGGAGCGAGCAGAAGCGAGATCGTTTCACTGGCAATTCAACCCTTAGATTTGCCAAACATTCTCATCTTTGCCGTTTTTATCCTATTTTTTCTTCCCTTTTTGCACACACCTGCAAAGCTGAACGTCTGTTGCACAGAAAACAAGAAGAGAAGCTATTTGAGCAGACACTTCAGTGCCATTAACTGGTCGAATGCAAACACACTTTGGGTCGCTCTCACAACAAACTTTGGCCAACACCAACGTTTTGAGCACCCAGGTACAAGCGCGCTGGCAAAGGCAAAAATCCCCGGCGCAACAAAGGGCACCGCTCCGCTCACAGAGAGTTGTCATAGAGACAGAGCAGCATCCTGGGGCTCATTCTCATTTTAAATATGCACAGAAATCCTTTTCAACCTGTCTTGGTGCAGGCATCTGTCCTCGTGACTCAATTATAAACTGTCGAGGCCAACAAGAGGATCATTTATCAGCAGGTCTCCTCTAGGCAGGCTGGAGCTAAGGAGATTTTCTGCAAACTTGATGGTTTTTGTTGAAAGCAAGTTTCTATCTGATTCTCTGGCTAGTGTTTCTAAAAGCTGTGGTTTGGGGAAGCGATCCAGCTTCAAAGTAACCTGGCCAGGAAAAAAAAAGAAAAAGGAAAGTTGTGGGTTGCGCTCACTTTGGGTTTTTAAACCAGGTCAGATTCCTGCTCCAATTTACAGCACGGGTGCACCAAGAGCTGTGGGAGGACAGCACAGGGGTGGCATTTCATGGTCCTGGGCACAAAGGAGGTGAGGGAAAGCAAATATTGTAATATATTAACGTTATTTACAAAGAGACATTACAAGGCACCTCTTGCCTTTACATCTAAAAGCTGCAGTTCCAAATGAGAAGGAAAAGAAAGACATTAATCTCTGTCTGTGTGGACAAAGTTTCATAAGCTCCTTAGTCACTGAAGGTGCAAAGACTTTAAATCTCCAAAACTCAGTGCTCAGCTGCCTTCTCCAGCTAGGAAGCTGGCAGGCAGCACAGGAAACCATATTCTAGGGAAAATGGTCCAGAAAGGGCCTCTGGGGCAGCAAGAGCCCACAGAGTGACAGATGTGCGGCTCTGGTTGCAGAGATGGACCTCAGACCCAAGGTCCAGCACAGCTGGGTTCCCTCATAGACCTCTTGGAGGCACAAGAGGAACTGGGGGAAAAGAGTGGCAGCTCTGTAGGACACCATGGCCAGGAGCAAACTGGGGCAGGAATTCAAAATTACACATCCCCAAAGAGACGTGTACAGAGTGACACCGAATCCACACATCCTTAGCTTTCAAGACCATGTGCTACCTCTGGAGTCTGACTCAAGGTCTTCTGTGTGACCCAGATACGTAACTCCCAAGTTACTAAATTAAAACTTCTTCAACCATTGGAGCTAGAGAGATTTCTGCTTCTCAAATTACTGCTAAAAACCAAAACCATGGGCAAGCAGATGCTGCTGTCAGACTGGCTAACAAAAATTCAGCAGCAACGTTCAAACAGGACGCATACCCCTCACCACGGCACGGCCAGCCCAGCACGGCTGCATCTTACTGGAGCCATCCTATGTCCCTGTAAGGGTTTCTCTGGCCAACCACTATTTCTGCTGCTGTAAAGGTACACCCATGAATGGCTTCATCTGAGAGATGTTCTTCGTTTTTGGGAATAAATCCTAAGTTATATGGATACTATGGGGAAGATCAACATCATTCCAAAGGGGAAGCTGAGAAGGGTAGGGAGAGCACCAGTCCAAGACCACCACGGCCAGTGGCAAAGCAGGACGGGAGATTCTCCCCTCAGTGATTTTCACAATACTGACAGGAAGCACCAGAGCACGTCACACTGAAAAATGGCAGGGTGGAAGTAAGCAAAAAAAAGTCATCGCTGTTCTATCAGGAGTGGCCCCAAGGTAGAGCCTCTCAAACGTAATTCAATGTATAGGAAGAGGGCTCACATCCCTTGGGAAAAAAGGAGTCAACCATGCCCAGCCATCCCCTCCCTTAAAGACTGCGGGATGATCATTTCCTTCACTCCCATGTTTATTTGGAATCTGATAATTCATTGCCCCTGGTTTCCTGCTGGAGTTGGGCTGCCATTGTTTGGGATTTACATTACTCAACAGGAAATCAGTGAGAGGTCCAGCAATTAGAAAGGTGCGTTTCCCACTCAGACACTCCCTTGTTTGCTTGCCCAGGGCTGGAGACCGGACCCAGAGCACGACTGAGTCCATGGGAACTCAGGGAAGTGGGGGAGCAAAGGCAGAGGGATTTATCTCCTTCTATTAAAAGCTATAGATAGCTTTGGCCATGGCCATGTCTACACACCCATCCCTCACATACTGTTCTTACTCAGGCCTTACAGTAACTGCTTCCTCCATGTGCTGGAGAGGGCTTAATTTATCAAAAAACAACTATCAAGGCAGCCCTTGAAGAGAGTAAGTATGGTGAAAGTGTCCCTTGAACTAAAGCACACTTCCTTCTCCAAGACCATCACTCTGACACTCTTGCCAGAGGAGAGAGATTCTGCACAGCATAAAGTGCCACTTGTGGGCTCTAATTCAGTTTATCACTCTGGGCAGGAATTAGGCTGAATAGGAATCAGCCCCCTGAGCTGTGGCTCTTAACCCCGACCTCACAAATGATGCTCCAATACATCCTCTTTAATGGCTCTTCTGTAACAGCACAAAGCAAAACAAACCACCACTGACCTTTTACAGCTTATCAATCTTTCTGAGCCACAGCTCCCAGTCACCAGTGGACTTGTTCCACCTCAGACATCGCCAAGGCTTCCCTGTTAGCTCCTCAAATGCAAAAGCTGGTTTTTTTTGTTCCTCTGGCATTCAGAGTGTGCTCGGGAACAAAAGCCCAGCTTATTACCCATTGTACAGTAAACCTCTGTTCCAAAAGAGGTTTAAGCAAACTCTGCAGGACTTCAAAACAGGAGTCTGATTTCCAAAAATTATTTTAATCCAGTTTTAAGAATGACTTTTTCCTTTGACCTTGAGGAAATGTCCTTGCTCCAGGCTCACTTACATGTGCCTAACCAGACCTCTGAGACCCCCTACAACTGATGTAGGTGAGACAGCCTTACACACCGCACTTCCTACACCAGGAAGTTTATCCTGAAGTATAACCTTGATCTCCACTACTGAAATTCAAGATACAGATGTCTCATCTTGTCCACCTCAGACATGGGGAACCGAACATTGCCTCCTCTCCACAGTTTTGCCAGAATAAGCCATGTGCTGTGCTGGGAAAGGCTGTGCATTAGAGACACTGGTTGCTTTTTTGCTTTGCAATGATTCCTCTAAAATTAAGACATTCCTGCAACGAGAGACAACACCGCAACACTGAGTAAAATGGAAGGGTTACAACACACCTCTAACACACCACCGTCCTGTGTACACATCGCAGCACGCTAGCTTCTTTCTCAGCAATATCCTTATGCTGATTCATGCCCATTTTGCAAAATGAAACAATAGAACTTCCCTATATTAAGAGATTATTTCATCTCCTGCTCGGGAAGGCCACTGGGTTCTATCAATTACTGGAACCAAAACCATCAGAACTCACCTCAGAGCAGCTGAACCTCAAATGCAGAAGTATGTTTGCTGCGATAGTCTAACATATCTGAATCTACTTGCAAAATAGTAATGACACATACCACAGCTGATACAAGAGTATTTAAATCACCCCAGACAGAGAACCTCCCCACTAGCATTTCTTTCTCTGAAACACACCCAACACTTGTAAGTATGAGCTTAGATAACATTTACTCATTTTCTATGAGAGAACTGTTACAAAAGCTGTGGAAAACGTGACTACTGCAAGTACAGAAATAAATGTGGAGGATGAGCCTTTCCCAGTGAAATGTGCACTAAGGATGTCTGAACTGCTTGATAATGAATGACACCGCCGTGATTTGTTTCACTGTGAGTTACTTACCCGCTCCACCAGGGTTTCAGGATTTTGAAAAATGTTGGAAGACGGATCACGCCTTCAAAACCAGGAACTTTTTTCTTTTGATCCTACTTTACTTAGCGCTTTTGGTACATAATTTGATGCTGCTTTTAAGCAGACATTGGCACAGAAACCTGCCTTTCTATTCCAGCCTGACTTTCCCCTTCAAGATTTTGGACTGAGCAGGAAATCCTTAGGGAGTGCAACACGAAACTGCTTCCAGGGGCTGGATTTACTCACCTGGTCCAAGCGCAGAGCGCCATCGATGAAGCGCTGTTTGCGGAGGTGCTGGGCTATTCGATGCAGGTTCAGCACAGCTTGCTGGATTTCGGCAACTGAGTGCTGAGGTGAGACAGGGGGAAGCTCTTCAGGTGAGAACACCTTCCCGGGGCTTTCGATCATACTCTGGGCATGGTCGTAGCTTAGCTTCACGCAGGAGCAGATGACCGTCCGCCCAAACCATTCGTCAAGGATCTGCAAAATCGGAAAGCACAAAGAGATCTGAGGAGTTCTTCCAGTGCACAAAAGCTTGGGAAGTTGTACAGACACTGGAAGTAACCACACCAGACCTCATCACCATGAACTTCAAGTGAAGATCTCATACTGAGCCTGCCAGAAGGCCTTTTTTCTCTAGTGTCTAATACTGTGGACCTTCATAATAAAGTCTTTTTATCACACAGGAACTGCTTGGACCTCTCTTCTCTACCTGATTTCCCTCCTTCATAGAGCTCAAAGGACTACAGCCCATCTGGGAGCTGAAATCAGTCAGTTGACTCAAAGGTTGCAAGATGCAGGAGTGGCAACCGGCAGACATACACATGCAAAGAAGGAGCTCGTATCTAAAACACAGCAGATCGATAAATATATGGCCAGCAGGGCACCAGGGGCTGGCCCTAAAACACTCTGTTTTCAGGAGTATTGCAGGGACCCAGTGTCTGATTAGCACTTGTGAAAGTGCCTGAGCAGGACTTTTTTATGGGACAGCCACCCAGTGACCCCCTGTTTCTCTGCTCATGTCTATGGTCCTCGGCCCAAACTCAAGCCAGGAAATTTTCTGACCTTCCAAACTATGTGGGAATCTAGAGGAAAATAAGCTACGAACTGCCTATAAATTTAATTTATTTTAAACCAAAAGCCACTCCCATTTTAAACTCCATAACAGAACACCAGTGTAGAAGTAGCAATTCAGAATTCTTTCTTAAAGGAGAAAGGAAAACCTATTTTCAGCTGAGATACATAAGAAAGTCCAAAAGCTCATCTGTCAGAAAGCACAGAGCTTCTCGATGAAGAGCATGAGGCTCTTCAGAAAAGTCAAGAGCGTTGGCATGAGGGCTCTGGAGGCAGATGCAGTCTGTGATCAACCATTCAAAGCACAAGAGTGAATGAAGAGCCGTAATTCTGCCTTTGCTACAAGGGCTACCTTACCCCTTCATCAACAGGAGAAGGTAAATTCGGCAAGTGACAGTGCCCAGGGAGAGCAGCCAGATCTAGGACAGACTGGTCAAGGACGTGGCTTCAGAAAGGCAAAGTCTCTTCTTCACAGGGAAGGACTGATCCCCAAGATACTTTTGCTGCCTCCCTCCCTGATGCCCCACAGAACACATGTGCAGTATGTAAATTTGCTGGATCCAAAAATCCTCCTCATATTAAGCAAGCACGATCTCTGGTGTGGAAGAGGCTGCGCTGCTCTTTAAACAATCCACTTCCAGCAAGTTGAAGACTATTAGCCAGTTGGTCACAGAGATGCTTCAGACTAAGGCATGGATGGCACTCAGGAACCAAAGAGGTGTTTTTCCTCACTGAGGTGATCTTAGAGCAAGGCTGAGCAGCCTTCACTTTTGTGAAGCCCTTCTACAGCCCCTCCAGTTGTAATAGGCAGCGCTTTCCACTTGCTCTTCTAATGTTTTCACATGCTGCTTCTATTTCCCTGCTAGGTCCTCCACCTCCAGCTATTAATTTCTGCATCAAAGGGCATTATCAATTCTGGCCCTCACGGTTATATTAACCTACGGTAAATATTTTGGGTTTGGAAAGCACTTGCATTTTGCTTGAACAAGCACATGAGTCAACTCCATCATGCACACGAGTATTGACAGGGGTTAAGGACTGGGCACAAACCAGAAGGGAAGTCTAAAGAGGAGCAGGAGCACTTTTCCCAGTCCCTGGGTTGGTGCTGACAGCACACGGTGCTCTACACGATGCTCTCTGCTGCTGGCTTCCAAGAGCTCTCTGTCCCCAACAGACTGGATTTCCACTTTGCCGCCTGAACTTGAAGAGTTCAACAAAATCTCATTTTTCTGCTTGCTCAGAAGAGGCCAAATATTTCAGAGCTCCACTCACTTCCTTGTAAGACGAGAGATGCCGCGTACTGGGCCCCCAGAATATAACTAGAACATCACATCTCAGGCAGGCTACGCTCAGGGCAAAGCGTCAGGATAAGCAGCCCATTACTAGCAGATGTTAAACTTCTTTTATTTCTGTTTCCTCTATTCCTATTTCTGTTCTTGCTCTCTTAAAGGCAACCATGCAACGTGATGCAGAGCACCCAAATTCCATTCCTGAAATGGCTCTAACAGGTGCAAACTGGACAGTGACACCCTGAGAAGTCTCTTACTGACGTCCCCAATAAACACCGCCTCACCAAGGTTGCCTGGATGCATCAAAAACACTTCACCCAGACAAGGAACTGAGTTTCGGATGCATCTTGCCCCATGCAGCCCAGTAATGCCTGTGCAAAGTGAGCAGAGCTGCCAGTCTCAGCCTTGCTGCAGCTGCACAGCCCAACTTTACCAAGCACTGTCCAAGCATTTCCTCAGATTTTCCTGCATCCTTCAGCAGCATTCCAAGCAGACTCAGGGTGACCACAGCCTTGCATCTCTGGTTTGAAAACCCCACCAGAGCAATTGGGAAGTTCTGCCTCTGCAGGGAAAGCTGCTCAAGGCTGGCTGGCCCACATACCATGGTTGATGGGTGGGCGAAGCAGTGCAAAGGAGTAAAATTTGGGAGTTGTGAGCTGGGACCTGGAGATTACAATGAGCAGTTCACAAGACTGGTCTGCAAGGTATCCCCCATCACAGCAAACCTGGTGTACCCAGACTCCAGGCAAAGTATCTGAGACATTTCTGGGGTTATATTAAGGCTTCCCCCAGCTCTAGTTGCTTTTGAGCAAAAGCTGTGGCTCAGCTGAAACCCTCCCATTAGCAGAGTCCCTGGTGGCCTGGGTCTCTCTGAGGGTGTGACATAGCTCTGCATGAACTGAGGACTTTCTCCTCGCAAGGCAGTGTCTGTATCACGTCCTGGCTGAGCCTGGAAGACACATTATTTGTATAGGTTGTTTTAGACTGAAGCAATTTCTGTTCCTCACTGGTAGAAGGCACCAGCAGGGCTGTGCTTCAAACACCAGCAGGCAATAACTTAAAAAGAAGGAGTTGCATCGCTTGTTTTCAAATATCTTTCTGTTGACTGCATTCGAACAAGAACGTGCGACGACGTTCCTATAAACGCCCAGCTCCGCTTCTGAAGAACAGCACAAATGCAACAACACGGTTAACGCCTCTGCCCTTGGAAAGTCATCTCAGATACATCATATGGCACTATCCCACTGGAGGCCACGGAGCAATGTGGAGCTGCTCAGGCAACATTTTGTTACACTCATGGAAAACTCGAAGATAAAAACTCCAGAGCCCAAAAGCAACAGAAACAAGAAAGTGCCTGTCTCCCAGAAAGGGCTGGGCCCGGCACTATTTTTCAAAAAGAAACAAGAACTAAAAAACCCAACAACTTATCAATAGTCACATTCAAGCGAGGAATCTGTGTGACTTTTCCTTGGGAGATGCATTAGCTCTAGACTTATTTGCTTTGGAACAGTAACAGTGGGAGCTCAGAGCAGCTCTCACTCCTATAGTAGAGCTGTCGGGCTGCGCTTCGCAAGCTGAAGGTTACGACGCTGCTGTACCATGTGTGACCTGGTCTGGTGATCCTGCTCTGGCAGGGGGGTTGGACTGGATGAGCTTTCAAGGTCCTTTTCAACTCCTGACATTCTGTGATTCTGTGAAAGCGCTCTCCGGCCTTGTGTATCCCTCACCGAGGAATGTCCTGTCCCCAGTGTCAACTTTCTCATGGCTCTCACCACCAGGGCCTTTGACTCTGCTCCCTTTCACCCAGCATGGCCTGGGGGAGCGTGTGATCCTGTTTACACCAACACGAGCCTATAGTAACACCTGGAAACACAGCAGATGGCTGCTGACCCAACTCACAGATAAGCTCTTGGAAGAATGCCCTGCTGGGCAAAAGCCCTGCAACCACTTTTCCTCTTGGAAGGAGTAAATTCTTGTCCAGCCTTCACCTGATATTCAAACCAAGTGACCTCGATGAAGGCTGCAGTCCTGAAAGTCCTCCTAGGAGAAACCAGTTTGCTGAGGTGGCCGTGGGCAATCTGCTGTCCAAGGGTCATGGCCCAGACCACAGGTGCTGCAGCTCCTCTTCGCTCACTGCCCAGACAGGCTTGGTCTGAACACTATTTGTAAAGCAAATAGTGTATATAGTGCAGGGGACAAGAGATGAGATTTAATTAAAAGCTTATTTTAATTAAGACTTGGCTATTAGCTGTTCAAAGACCACTCAGAGTCACTAAAAGGTCCACAAGTAGCTACTATTAGAAGATGCCATGAGTAATCATGCTGGCACTATAGGAAGTGGGATGCTTTTTACAGTGAACAAATAAAACCCACCTCACTGCCAGAGCAGGGACTTGCTGCAGAAATACAGATACAGGACTGCAACGGTATTTTGCGAAAGCACAAAAGATTCAGTATCTTTTAGAGCAGCACAGACAATAATAAGGAAGTAAAGTTAATCCTTGTGGAAAATGAGCAATTTGGCACAAGAAATCCTCTCCACAGAGTGAGTTGTGCAGGAACACAATACTGGTTGAAAACAAACCAAAACAAAACAATTGCAAATACAAAAAAGTGTGCTTTGCACAGATTGGAGTGCTCTGGTAGTGGCAGTCTTCAGCCCTTCTCGATCAGTGAGGGGACCTTGGGATCTCCGAGGAGGAGACTGTTGAGTTACAAAGAGTCTGGGAGGGTAACAGGGACAGAAATGAAGACGTGGGGAGGGCTGGCAGCTCTTGCTGCACTGATCACAGCCTCCGCAACTGCTCCCTGGAAATAAGACACGCCGAGGATGGAGCTGTGCCTTTGCTGAAGAGCCATCGTGCTTTATTTGGATCAATGCAGTTTGCAGCCCTGAAGAATGAAATAGTCCATTCACCACAGAGGGATACTGCCCTCATCCACTGCACTGCACAGGTGTCTATGAGCAGAAGGTAGGACTGGAGCTGTGGAGGTCACATCTCATCCCAGCCAAAGCATTAGATTTTAATTACTGCTGGAGGTAAGACACTAAAAGGATGGGTGACCTGGCAAGGAGTAGGAAATCCTCTGTTCCTCAGATTCATACAAGCAGTCTTCCTTTCCCCACCATGATGTGAGATTATTCCCATTGGAAGTTCCTCTGTATCTCACAGATAAAATGAGATACAGGGGCAGTCCCGCAACCTCCACTATTGTTCACTGACAAGACCTGGGTGTTACAGGGTGGCATTTTTACCACTCTGTTTGCAAGAGCAGGGACTGGCCACCAAGAAAGGACAGATGAGCAGGACGACTGCCTGCTACTGGAGGTACCTTGCCTTCTGGAGTCACCTTCCACATCACGGAGAACGTCAGTCTATCTCGCATGGGGTTGAGACTGCACAGCTCCTCGCAGAGCAGCTTGGGAAGCATCGGGATCACCTGAAAGAGAAGAGAACAGCAGTGAGACACCGACTTTCAGCAGAGACCTGCGTGTGGCCCAGCTTCCCTGGGCAGGGGGGAAGGGAAGGGCTCAGCAATGCAGAAAAGGAGAAAATGCGTTAAACCTTCAAAATCGCATTCTCAGTGGCAGATTTTTTAACCTGTGTCCTAATTCCTTACAACGCATCAATATTTCTGCTGCTGAACAGTGAATTACCAAACCATGAATTACTCACCTGCCTACAGCAAACAAAGCAAAAGCTTTGGATCACATTCACACTAGAGCAAACCTGAGCAGCTCCAAGTGTTTCTATCACTCCCCGAGTTATTTCCCAGGTGAAGTCTGCAGTAAAGATAATATTTAGCAGCTGTTTAATGAGGAAAAGCTAATTATTAGAGTTTCTCATTCTTATTTCCCTTCTCGTTATTTCCCTCCGTGAAGAAGCAGTCACTGCCCTCAAAGCAGCACCATGTTATTCCTCTTGTTTATTCTGAGTTGCAACATGGGCTGGCACATTCCAGAAAAACACACAGAGAAATGCTCTGCTTGGTCGCTGTAAAATATTTCATCAATTTAATTTATTTGCCATGTTGACTGCTCTGTGTGCCACCCTGTAAACACAGACCAGCAGGAAGCCGAGTGGCGTGCAAACTCCAGCTCTTCCAAACTTGGTGACACCACTTTGGTGATTTCCGAGAGAACTTTTTTTTAACCCGGATGCC